TACTCCTCCGCGCCGTCCTCCGTGGGAAAGACTCCTCCTACACGGCAGCACCGCCGCAGCGCTACACATGCGTACCTAGGCGAGACAGAGAATAGTACGTAAGGTACCTCCCGGCTTCCTCCCCTGAGTGTCCGATCGGTCTCCCTTAACGGTGCAAATGTGTCATTTTAGCGCGCCCCATAAATACCGATAGTACTTGTTGAGTGGTTGGCGGCTTGGTGATATTGAGGTATCTGTATGATCGAAAAGGTATCCTGCAGGCAATGGGAGCCATCGATTGGCTAGAATACGGCTCCCCCACAAAATGACACGTTTGCACCGTTAAAGGGATAACAGACCGCTGGAGTTCTGAGCCGCTGGGTTTTGAAACCTCAGCGGTCCAGCGCTGAAAGTCTCCAAAATCGTCTTGGCAGAGGTACTTTTTAACTCGGCGGTCCGAAACGCTTGACTTGCTCCATTCCTTATTCCACCAACGAGCTGCTAACCTACTTTGGCAACCCAAAGAGGTTAAGCGCCTCACTCAAACCGCTGGGAGGTTTGACCGCTGAGCCCAGCGGTCTGTTACCGATCGGGCCCGGAGTTTCGGCGCAACGAACGGAACGGATACAGTACGGGTTGTCAAAGTCTCGGGCACTCTGTCAGTTTGGGTGTGTACTATCGCAAACCCCGGCCTCCCTGTAACGGACCATTCGGAATCGGCTGTGCCATGATTCGAAATTCTCTCGCGGAGCCGCCCGTTGCCCGTGAGCCTCCCGAGGTCAGACATTCCGCTACGGGACAGTACGGGATCAGACACGGCCGTGAAAACTCCACTGCTTTGCTCTCGGCTCTCCATTTTTCAAGCGAAAAAAAACATTCGCCTCTGCTTTTCTCCGTCTTGGACCGTTGTGGTGAGCCGCAGATATCCATGCATCACAGGCATGGATCGAGCGATGGAGCCTCAACTCGACAGTCCACCGTTGGCGGGCAGTGGAGGCCAGTGAAGAGGCAGCATGGACAAAAAAACATGCCAATTGTTTCGAGGGTACGTACAGAGTCGCAACTGATACTCGCGACGGACCATACCCAGTTGAAGAAACTTAAGCGAATCCGAATCGTGACCCACGGCACCACTAAAAAGGAGATTTTTATCGACCCCATCACCACCGGCCGGACACGATTGTCTGCATGGTCGATAGCTTGACTACAAGCGACAGATGGTGGTGGATGGGATGGATGGACGATGGGTCGAACATGATCTTTTGTGATGAGTACCTCTAAGTTTGAGTTTTGCCCTCACCCCATGGTTATCGTGCCCGAAGGAGACGGATAATGATGCAAAATTTGCTAACCCTTGTCTATAGCTTTTGGTTGAGAAACTAACAATTGGAGCGCGGGGGGATCTGGTTGGATGAAACAATCGTTTCTCGTGTCCATTTTTGGATACTTGCCTGCCGTCTCAAGCCCCTGCGACTCCTTTCTTCTTCTTACCTCCTGACTGGCCTTTCTATTTGAGCTTGGCGGCCGGGGCGCGATGCATCGTCATTGCCGTGAGGCTCGTTTTGCTAGATCTGGGGGACGCTAACGACAACGACGACAATGCTGCCATTAGTGCACAGGTCCCCTTCTTTTTCACTCACCAGTCCACCAGTGAGGTTTTCTATAGCGAGCAAGCTCGCCATGTGACATATGTCACTACACATGCATGCCATGGAGTGGCTTACATTGACATGCGCTATAAGCACAGATCTCAGTGTCTCTGTCCTCGACTCTTGGACTTGTTTTGTCTGGGTCGAGAAGTGGTAGGCCTGGGTTCGGTTGCGATGAAGCTCATCTCGCTCCCGGCAAAAGGTCATGGACAGGTGGTGTGCAGGTGTGCTAGCCTCCTCGTCCACGCCGTCGACGCCATCCACGCCCGTCCCACGTTCACCCATGGGTTTGTCCTAGGGTTTGTCCCCTGAAGTTTTCCGCTTGACTGCTTTGGGCGTAGTCGGTTTCTATTCTTAAAATTAACCTTCTTTGCCCTTCTTGGTTTGCTCCACTTGGCTGCTGCCACATCCGACCGAGAAGCAGCCGGCTCAGCCACTCAGAGGTGAGGAACCAGAAAACACACTGCTAACGCTAAAGCCACTTACCATCAACCTCTAAAAATGTTAGGCCGTCTTACAAGCTTCCCAGTCTCACTCCCGTCATCAGATGACTTCCCCAGATTCTCTCTGCCAACAAACACAGATTCGCAATCTCGAATGCAGTGCGCAAAAGCCTCAATTCCTTATTTCCGAGCACCAACGGAACAAGAAGTTTGTGGTCTCCTTTTTCGAATGACCCATCGACCGCTTTAGGGTTAGCAGGCCGCAATAGTCAAGAGCTCCGATACAACGTTCCACTCATCATGCCCGCGACTTCCGCCAACAAACCTCCTTTCATCATCATTGTTTGACTATCCAGACCGTTTTGGCTGACCATACACGCCATATTTTGCGCTTTTGGCCATTCAAGTTCCATTTCCACCATCCATTTCATACGTCAGGCTTTCCAACCTTTTCCATTCTCATCGACACTTGCCCACCAGATGCACCCCACGGCAAAGCTCAACTTGTCCTGTCGTGTGTCGTTGGACAAGTGTCAGCAAGGTCAACGGACTGCACCTTTCGTTCCTGAGTTCCTACTCCGGAAATCGTATATCCTGGATGCCCGGGGGCGGTGAGCCATTCGCACAGCTGTTGTGCAGGTGATCGCTTCGGTCCCTACTCCCACCCTACAATATCGGTTCTGATACCATTCACGGTGTTCACCGTACCCCGGTACCTTGCCGCCAATCCTTGAGAGATGCGAGTGTGCAAAGTTTGTTGTCGGGATGAACCGCCTTCAACAACTCCACGTGCGCGCGGATCTCGCGGCTATCCTCACGAATTACTGCAACAGGCCGAGGGCAAACCCTCAAAAGAGCCGGCAAATCCTACACTGTCTCCTGCGCCTCAATCTCTACCGTGTGCTGTTGGCCAGGAACTAATTATAGTCACATCCCGATCAGGGAACCCTTGGAGCAGTCATCTCCCGCTTGCCATTGGCATCGTGGCTGGGTTGAGCCACTCAGCCACCAGAATCGTGATATGTGAGGTGACAACTACATTGCTGTGATCACCATCCTTTCCTATCTGGGCTCCGAGATTGTCATTATTCGAAAGATCACGGGGAACATCATAGCATCCTCATCCGACTGAGCATGCATCAATGCCAGGCACAGCATTATAGACGGTAGGTATACTGTCGCCTCAACCACTTCCGTCCTTCTAGGCCATGCCGCTGATAAATACACAGCATGTTAGCCTCACAGAACGAAGCTGCACGGGTATTATGTGCATTACACGTACATCACAGCCATGCGTTTGTGAAACCTCAAAGCGCGGTGAGAGACGGGACGAGACCATCGAGAAGGCCAGCTCAAGTCACACGGGGGCTGCCTCCTTCACCATGCATTTCCACACCCGACACAATGGGTATCTCTCATGCCTGGAGTATTTCCCGATCCTTCGGCACCTACCCATCACTGTCGAGTGACTGTTCAGGGCAGGCACAGGACCGATGAAATACCCCGATGTCTGTTCCCGTTGCCTTGTTATTTGCTCCTGGGATGAGTGGCTGGGTTTTGCATCAAACATGGTGCGTTTACCAGAGAAGAGCATCACAGCAGTATCTTGGTGGACACTGAGATTTCCTTCTCTGGGTCGAACAGACGCTATGTCTTGAGGATTCACTGCTTCCTCTCCTCGTCTGATAATATGTCCTAAGAAGGAATATTGTTCGAGGCCAATAGATCCGGTGACGTTTGCCCTGCGTGGTTCCCTGCCGGCTTATTCAAGAGCTTGCCTGGGTCACATGCGGATTGCCTCATGCCATGAGCTCCCGTACCGTCGGGGTAGGCACTTCCCAACCTCGAGCAAACAATCAGCAATTTGTGTGCAAGAACTCAGGTTGCAGCCAGCAAACAAGGGAATTCTGGTACCTGGCTCGACAACGAGGCAAGGCTGACAGTCAGCAAAGATATGTAATCATTTATGGAAGGGTAAAATAGAGAAAAAAAGCGTCTGAAAAAGGAGACAAGTGTTGACAAGACGGCCCGAAAGAGGCAAACGTGTACAGCACCAACAACGAATCCGGCCTCCAACACCTTCCTTTCTCTCGGCAGTGCCAATCTGTTGGGTCAGCACAAGCTTCGTCTGCTTCCTTCCTATCCTTTGTGTTTTGTCGACAAGTCATTTCTGTATTCCCTCATCCCAGTCGCACTGCCGTCACGCTCAAAAGCTTTTCATCTTCTTGTCACACTGTTTCCCCACGGAATACCACTGCGGCTGTAGAGTGACTCTCAACTGCTGGCCGGCGAGAGCTTCCCTTCTGACTGAAAATTTCATTAATCGGCAGATCGAGTTATCTCGCGCGAGACTCCTTGTAATGGGGCCGATTAACTGCTATGGACCATCTCGGATATCTGATAGCCGAGAGTTCGATCTACTGGTCGATAAACGATTCACTTGACTCCATTCGATCGCGATGAGCCTTTGGAAATCCTTGGTCTCTATCTCCATGCCCAATCTCCCTTGCCTCATGTCCATAGTATTTTCCCCATCACGCATTTTTCACTTGCCATTTTCAACCATCGAAGAGGCTATGACATGGCCCGATATAGCATAGTGTATCCGCCTGCCTCAACTCCAATTCTTCGCTCCACCAAAACTCGCTCCCCACACTGCAACTTCTCGTATTCCGTTGCACTAAAGCAAAGACTAAAAAGTAACCCATCAAGGTTCCATAGGTCCATCGGTGGTGGTCCATTCCATGGTGCTCGGGCGGCTATCCTTATCACGCTAATGACAAAAAAGGTGGAAGCATTTCGTCCGGGCCACCACCACCCAAAACTGCCAGCTTTTTTGTCATCGACGTGCCTATTCAAGCGCCTCGCAGGGAATCACTACATGGAAGGGTAACAGGCACTACCTAGTCACTCAACAACCACTGGACAGATGGTCGTAGTTTACGCCCTCCTTCCTGCCTCACGTAAGTAGTAACAGGGACAGGGACATGGCTTCCATCTTGAGAGCCACAGCGGTGGTTAAGACCAGACCAGCATTGACGCTCAGAAGAAGACAAAAAAAAAAAAAAAAAAAAAAAAAAAAAAGGTTACCCGGCTACAACAGTCGCAGCTCGCAGCTCCAGGTCCCTCATCCTCACCCCCGGTCCTTGTCCTAGTCCTTGTCCATGTCGCCTACGGCGCCGGGTGCGACGGTACTACTGCTGCGGTAAGTGTACGCTCCGGCCCGAGGAGAGCCCAGCCAACAGGGTCAAGTTGCGAAAGTCTCATGTTCCACTGTACAACTGTACAACCCTTACTCAGACTCAGACCTTGGTCTGTGTTCTTGCCTGGTCTACACCTGGCTGCTTCAGGGAACGCAAGTTCGGTTCGGTTGGTTGAGTGGAAAAAAAGGTTTGAGTTGAGCTGGTTTCAACCGAGGTTAGGTAGGGACAAATCGCAGACCTGGTCGTTGCTAGGTCGGGACCATGCCGGGACTGTTTAGGTCGAGCAAGTGAGTGGGTGAGTGAGTGGGTGATGTGATGAGGTTCCCACCAAACGTACAATCGTCGTGATGTAAGTCCCGTTTCATTAGGCCAGTGGCCCGATGATGATGAGTTGTACGTACATACATACACTCGAATGGACTGGAGCGAGTGGCCAAGTGGCATGGGGGGGAGCTGCTTGACTTGGGAACTTGAAGCCGAATGGAGAGAGACGAGGAGATTAGGTCAGTAGGTAGGTAGGCCATGTGTTCGATTATACCTAAGGTTCTTTTTTCCTGTTGTACTACGTGTGTTACAAGAACAATTAGAGGCTTTAGAATGCGGCGTGCGCATGATCGGGGGGAGTGTCTCCTTGCATCTGGGTAGGAAATATACATACCGAAAATCCGCCAGTGGACCAAGTCGAGAAGCCGGATGAGGAACAAAAAAACATACAGTACACAGCTGAAGCCTTCCAGTTCATACCCATCACCATCAATCTCCACGGTGAAACCATCACCGGACCAGACCAAACCATCCACCTGCTTCCAGAACAGAAAAGAACTCGACGACCTGAAACCAGGCTGATGTTTCGCTCCTTCCTCTCCAATTAACATTAACCCTCCCCCGAGTCTGAGTCTTAGCCTGAGCCTGAGACTACCAAGACGGGTCCTTACCTCCATTCACCACCGCCATTGACCAACCAACCGCATTGACCCTCTCGGGCTCTCACAAGCAAGCCCCCTCCTCCTACCTATCTGCACCTTATGCAGGCAGGCAACATAACTTAATTTTACCACTAAAGAAGGGGCCAAGGGGGGGCCAAGAAACTCACATGTGACCGCTTCGAAGCGCGAGTCTCAGCCGGGGAGGCGGAAAGTAAGTCGTGTAGTGTAGCACGAGAAGAGAGAGGGACACGTTTGTTGTCACACATTTCACCGACACTCAGAGTTCAGAAGACCTGATCAGACTGGCGAGACTGGGGACAAAAGTCAGGTCCAGGTCCAGGTCCATAAGTTCAGGTCAGGAAGAAAGAAGAGAAGCAGAAATCAGAAACTGTGGGAATGGATGGAATTTGTCTTGGCTGTAAAGATGAACGGATTAGGAGGTTTGTTCCGAAACGAATCAACTTGCAAGTTTTACAAACCAACAATGAATCCCGACCGGCCGGCCGGCCGGCACGGTCCCGAGTTCGAGCTCAGAGTTTTCAATTCTTTCCCCGTCGGCGAGGATGCCTACGACATCGGCATCGGCATGGACTTTCGGGCCGTTGGTAGTTAGTTGCCTTGCTGCTGGTATGGTACCCAGCTGCCCGGTCTGGTGAAAAATATATTACCGTCTCTCTGTCCGTCCATTCATTCATTGAACAAGATAGCATGGACAAGCACGGACAAACAACGGGACAAGGACAAGCAAGCAACAAGCACTGCCACTTGAATGCCCTGGCTCATCTGGGAACTGGGAACTGGGAGTGGAAGGCGGACAACAACAGACAATGGAATACCGCGTGGTTGGTTGTTGGGTCACAGACTCCAGATTCCAGACTCCAGACTCCGTACGTACGTACATCAGGCACATACTATACCATTCATACAAGCGTAAGGGGATAGATTAAAATCCCGGGCTGGTGGTTGGGTAGTCCGGGGATAACAAACTTCCATGGGGTAAGCCGGTGAGAGCTGCTATGATTAGCACACACGCAAAGCGCAGAAAGGGTGGAGATCAAGAATCAAGACAGCAAGGTAAGGGAAAGAGATGGAAACAGAAATAAGCTTCTGACACGTGAGAACCATGCATTTGGGCATCTCTCATTCCATTAGCAGGCAGGACACGTGTGTTAGTGGTATGTTGCCCCCCTTTCACGGTGCCATCGCGATGAGGCTGTGCTGTGTTGAAGGGATATCTGAATCGCAACTGATGATTTGCTATGTGCATAGGTAGGTAGATACCGTACCTTAGCTTAACGTCGTTGGGAATCGCATTCACATCTTTGAATAGCGTAGTATGTAAATCAAATAGGTGAAGATGACATACATGCATTGCACTAATCACCGTTCGATTCGCTGGTTCTTTCCACATTTGAGATCTAACTAGTCCCTTCATCCATTCCTCATTCTCCATTCACCCAATCTCGGTCGTCCCTTCCCTCCTTCCTTGAATACACATTTTTTGACGTGGTGACGTGCTGGCGTACTGGCTGGAGTCCAGGTTGGGGGCGGGCAGGACCGAAGAACCAACAGACCGTAACCGTAACCGCAACCGTGACCGTGACCGTGACAGTCACAAAAAGAACACTCGAAAGTATTCACACAAAGCAACGCCACAATCAAGCCCAAAAGCCGGTGGTTGAACTAGCAGTATCTACTGTGTAATAGCATTCACCCATGCGATACAACGTTGCCGTCGTGCTTCTTTTTTCTCGTGGCGGGCTCCTGTACAGTACTGTGTTGGTGTTGGTGTTGCCGCCAACCTGACTGAGCCAACCGCAGCATTGATGTTACACAAGACCATAACCGCGGGACAGATGCATCCTTTCTCGTCTTACCAACTGCTTCTCCTCAAGGCAAGTCAGGGTCAAAATTCGCACGAACCTTCCGAGACCGGAAGATGTTGGTTCTTTAGAAGAAAGAAGATTAAAAAAGTATCGAAAGGTCAAAGAAGAAAGACGAATGAAACCCAATGTACCTAACGTCATCTTTGGTCGTCACGTACCACACGCGCAGCAACGAGAAGCATAAATCTGATGCCTCACCTACCAATCCTGCGTCTCTTGTATGGAGCAGCGGCCCGTTGTTGCCGCTCGTCAAGGGTCAAGTAGGTAAGTGAGATGTCATGTGCTTCAACATGAGCAGGCAGCTGGATCAGAGCAAAGCCTGACAGCAGAGTTTCGGATCGGTAAGTGGCGTAGGCTTGAATACCTGGGAAGAAGGATAAAGAGTGATGGCCTATAGAAAACGCGCGAAGAGCACGAGAGAACAGGTGAAGTATGGCTGATGTAAGAAAATGTCACTATATCTACCTCATGGAACTCGTTTTATCCAAGCGACAAATGTGCCTGACAACCAGAATCAGTCTCACCAAGTACCTCTCTTACTGTGACCGCTGTTCACCCTTGAGCTGCTTCGAAAAATGAACTCTCTCTTCTTGCCATTTTGGCTTGCCCAAAACTTCCCATATCCATAGCTGTCTACCTAATCTAACTAAGCTACCTATCTAAATAAAGTGAACATCACCACCCATAACACATATCCCTCCTCCCATAGCATTCTCGATATACCTGCCACGGTCCTTTCCTATCCCTGCTTTTGTGGTGCCGTATCGTACCCTAAATATAGGCTGATGTTGAATAGTTTTGCTCACATCTCTTGAGGCCCCAGGTCCTTAACGACGCTTCCTTCTTGCCTCCACCATCCTGCTGAGTCGGCTTGTAGCTTTTGTTTTTCGATCCAAACGAAAATTCAGTGTTGTGTCCCATCAACAAAGCCAGGTTGTATTTTTTTTGTTCATATCATTGCCCTTGACGTGCACCTTGTCTTCAGCTCTCCTTCAAACACCACTCCGACTGGAGACTCAACTTCACCACGCACATCTCAGGTTTGTACTGTGCCTCAAGCACTCATCGAGTAGAGCACCGCACCGAACATGATTTGTGTGTGTCGACGGCCTCTCGCACTTCACAGGCCACTTCCTCACCAGCTCAACAGCCCAAAGGATCAATTATTGTCCGCACTTATGCCATCCTGCTCGTTGGTTGACATCACCCAGAATCAGAGCAAGCTTCGCCCTAGGAGTTTACGCAGACCGCTAATGGCGTATATCTGCGTGGAAAACACGACACTGTTCAGGGCGTTCAATCATATCGCATCATTTTGCGTGGCGTGGTCCTTGCATGTAAGCGTTATGATTCAGGGAGGAAAGATTGTTCGAGGAAGGGGACCATGGATATATTTGCAGTAACGACCAAACAGTGGACAGATCTTCGAAGTAGGTATAGTGTGCGTACAGGCTTCGTTGAGATGCGGTGGCTCAAGTGATCAGCTCAAGCTCAGAGAGCGAAGAGCCTCTGGAGCAGCTCGAGGTCCTTGGCTTCCATTTGCATGAGGAAGTTGGCGAATCCCGGAATGATTTGTTTATAGACATTGATAATCTGCGTGAAGAAACCACCAAGTTAGAATAGATCAGGTCATGGAAATTCTCGGGTTGATACTTACGTTCTGGAAGGCTTCATGCAACTCTGACAAAACGGGCTTCTGCAGGCTGAGTTCCTGATAGTTGGCAATTGTGCTAAAGTAGTGCAGTAAAACGCTCTCCATAGCCTGGGGGTTGCGAGTAACCATCTCAGTGAAGCCACGGAGTGCTGTGGCCTTCTCTTCAGAAGGATCAACATCATCCATTGTGTCGAGGAACTCCTCAGCAAAATTGCCAAGGTGTGGGGCCACAAGTTCGGCGTTGTCAAGTCCTAACCTACCCAAGGCAATGGCGGCGTTTTCGCTGACACCTCCGGGTACCCTGGGGTTGGAGAGGATGTCAACACATCGTTGAAGGAGCTGGGGCACGAATGGCGCCATTCCTGCCTTGTACTGAAGAGCAATCTCGCCGACACTCCAGCAGGCGTTGTTGACAACGCTGAAGCTGTTGTCGACCTCCTCATCCAGGATAGTGTCCATGTCCAAGCGCTTGATAACGACCGGCATAATGTTGGGCAGGAATGGCTTGAGTTGTTCGAAGACGTACTTGGCACAGTCACCGAGAAGAGCGTATGCCGATTGCTGAACCGCATCAGATTGATCCCCCATGCACAGAGCCATCAGCTCGAAGAAGGTTGGCTGGGCGTTGGCAACAAGCTTGGAAGCCTTGTCGTTGTCCAGGGCTTGGATGATGGCACTCAGAAGATCGAGGCTGGTGACCAGGAAATCCTCATCAGGTTGATCAAGGTCAGTGTTGGTCTTGGCCTTCATGGCCTGCTCCAGGTTTTGGTGGATAATTCTGATACACCTGGCGAAGATAGGCTCGGCGTAAGGGGTGAAGGCATCGCCAAGGGCCATGGCAACGTAGGAAAGGCACTCGAGCAAGGGGAAAAGCTCCCGAGACTCATCGCCCACCTTCTGCCATCTGTCGAGCAGGACTGGCATCAACTGGTTGCTAAGTTCAGGCCTAGCCAGGACGGGGCCGATGTGCTCAGCCAGCGTCTGAACGCAGTCGTAGAGAACCCACATATTTTTATCCTTGTACTTGCCGAAGCATCGGATGTATTGCTGGATGATGGGTCCGCAGTAAGGCTCGAGCGCCTTGCCTGCCTTCTCTTCTAGGTTCGCCATGGCGGAGGCACCAGCTTCCTGGACGTTCTTGTTCTTGTCAAGCATCTTCTTGAGAATTCCGTCCATCATAGGCAGGAAGTATCTCTCCTTTTCTGCCGGATCCGTAAGGCCAACCGCCCACGCAGAGTATCGGCCAAGGGTCCAGCAGGTAATCTGGCGAACCACCGGCTCCTCGTCGTCGAGGAGACTGACAAGATAAGGCACCAATTCTGGAAGGTGGGGAACGACCACGTCCATGCAGCCATCAGCAACAGCACCAAGAGCGAGAACAGCCGCTTCTCTGTAGGACCAGTCCGCGTGCTTGAGGTTGCTCTGCAAATATGGTAGGATAGAGGTGAAGACTGGTCCGCCAAAATCGCGAGCAAATACATCAAGTGCCGCCGCCGAGCACTTGCGGAGAGTCCACTTCTCATCGGGGTTCTCATCTCCCTCGGACTCGCTATCATCGATTTCGCCATCTTCCAGGTCGCCGTCGTCTTCCTCCATGCTTGCAACCTTCTCGAAAGCGTTTCCGTTCTTCGCCATGTCAGCCGCGGTATTACCATTGGCAGCACGGGTCAGCTTCTTCTTGGCGAACTGTGGCTTGATGTCCTCCTCCCTATCTTCTTCGTGCTCATCGTCCGAAGCACCTCCAAGTATGGCAATATCCTCGGGACTGTAGACCATGCACTCCAAAAGTACGGGGATGATGTCTGTGATGTACGGTTCCAGGGCCTGCCACAGGTTGTCGTGCTCTCCGACAGTCAGCCAGAACTCGGCAGCCTCAGTGGCAAGATCCTCGTCGTCGCCCTTTTGTTGAGCGATGATGTACTTGGCCAGGCCTTCGATATGTGGCAGAAGCTTGTCCGGACGGGTTTCCACCAGGTTCACAAAAGCACGACAGACCTGTTTCCGTACATCGATTGAGGGGTCTTCAGCCAGAGCAAAGAGGTGCTGTAGAAGGTCATCTATCGAGTTCAGCATGGCCTGCGACTTCCTAGGGGTGAACACATTGATGGCTGTGAGAGCATGGGCGCGGACTTTGGGCACCGTGCTCCTGGTCGCCTGAATGAGCTTGGGAAGGAGAAAGTTGATAGGCCTTTGGCCGTTGTGTTCCCTTTCCAGCATCTTCGCATTGTCTTCGCAGATCTTTGCCATGGCAGCCATAGCTCCCTCCTGCGCCTCGGGCGTTACCTGGCCAGACTCATTGGTCAACGTCTTGAGCAACTCCGGCAGAAACTCGGGCCAGCCGTAGATTCCTCCCTTGTTGATCAGCTCAGTCGCAAGAGTGCCTGCATGACTGCGGATCTGTGAGTTCTTGTCCTGGAGCCCCAAGGGGACGGCCATTTTGACGAGAGCCAAGCTCTGTTCTGGAATCTTGTCATAGTTGTTCTTGATGTTGTTCTTCAGCATCAGAGCGGCGGCACAGCGCACAAGATGCCAGTCCGCAGCGGTCGCTGGAAAAACCTGGGGTGGTTCCGAGCTCGAGATAATGAGGGCCAAGTAGTTGTTGATATCGGGCGACGCTTTCGCTTGGTTAAGCATCTGGTTGATAAATACAGGTCAGAATCTCTGTCCTGTGGCAATACTCAAGCAAAGCCCGGGGTAGCTAGGTGGTGCCGAGGGGCATCAACTCACGATTTCAGCCTGCTTCTGGGCGGCCTTGTTGAAGGCGCTCAGGGAGTCCTTCAGACATTGTGCCAGAGTCTTCAGGTTCTCTCCACTCGGTTGCCAAGCCATGGTGATAGTTGGGGTTAGAGTGACACAGGCGCGTGACGTCGGCGATGTGTTTGCGTGGTGGCGGCGGCGGTTGGTGGGTTCTCAAACTTCGATATCTCGTAGCTGACGAGAACTAGAACGATGGTTTTTGGCCGATACCGGTGAACTGCTGAAGAGTCGAGCGCAAGATCGGGAGGCGCAAAAAAGGGTAGGCGACTCGAATGGACCCTTTGTCAATGCAAGTTGTGTAAGAGGCGCCGGGTCACCACAGCGCAGCCTTTAAGCCAGAGGTTCTCTTGAGAGTTCGTTTAGTTGGAGCTGGTCATGGGTAGTCGCATCTGGCAGGCCAACGAGTAGCAAGAGCAGCAGACAAGAATCGGCAGTTTGTCTTCGGGAAGGCAGCAGGGTGTTGTTTCGAGATGGAAGAGATATCCAGGAGCAATTGCCAGACATGCAGTGGGAGGTCGGCGGCGATGAATGGTAGTCGTGGGTGGGCGGCGGGCAAGGTTCGAGCAGGGCAATGTTTAATGTGGGGTGCAAGTGGGCCTTGGCTGGCCTCTATTTTTTGCTGTGCCGTTAAGTTTCTGTTGAAGACAAGTGCCCGGGCCCTGCACATCTGCACTCGCACTCGGAGTGCGGTGCGAATGCGATGCCAAGCCTGCTAGTGTTGGAGATGCAGGCCTGTCAAGAAATGGTGGCAGGTGTGGTCAGTGGTCTTCAGGTGCTGGGTCTGTGTGGGCGGTTGTAGCTTCTGTCCAAGAGCGGGGCCGGGGCCGCCCCTTGAGGTTACGCTTGATGAGGTCGTCTCTGCATGGCGGCCACCCGCTCAGATGGTTGCACAAAACCCCCTTTGATAATGATAAGATTTCTGCTACGTACGCGCCTTGAAATCGATGGCACAGTTACAGCAGCAAGTCATTAATGCCCGAATCGAATCGAACAGAAAATGGCACCGGGGACATTCATTCAAGAGGAGTCATCGGCACAGCTTTTGGTGTCGCAGTCAATGAGACGCCCGGCCCTTGGAACCTCGATCAAGGCCTGGCCGAGGATTCGATACTTGGGTTCGTCCCATTTCCCGGTTTGTGGCCCGCCCGTCTCTATCAAGTCAAGCTTAGAGAAAAGCCGGGTTTGTATGCGTTGCCTGGATTGTTTGGATGGTAGTATTGGTAGGTAACATCTCTCGCATGTGGCCTCCGTTTCTAGGTCAAGAGCCTGCTTGATGCTCTTCCATATCTTCAGTTGGAAATGGGCTTCTAGACCGCTTCCCGTCCTTTGGGAACCAGATGGCGAGCTTTCCTCATCACTTCTTTCGCTCTTTCTTGCTGTATAAGCCGCATCATGTCCATCACGGGCAGGATACCAGTCGTCTTCTTCAGACCGACCAGAGACATGGAACTTGGATGTCGTCAGAGGGTCCACGACACAGTTGCCGTGCAACAGACGGCTGAGACCTGCCAGACCTGCCAGGTCAGGTTTGTGAGCCAATACATCCCGAGGCCATGTTAGATGCGCCAAAGATGAAGCTGAAGATAGCACCCTCTGCCGTATCATATAGCCAGGACTTTCGGGTTCAAAACCTCTCCGTCGATTTTCTGAAGGCTACTTGCCTTCGGCCATGCCCCATCGGGATATGGTGCCAATCCATATCGCTACCAATACCCGACATGTATCAAGCAGGTAACCGAACACGAGTGACAGTTCCGTGGCCTTCTCGGGGCATGGATCGTGGGGAATAACAGTCCTTTGTGGCACGTTCAAACAAGGCGAATAGGTTAGGCAAGCTCGATCTAAGCGTTTGCAGAAACTCGTCAGGAAGGGAACTGCCGGAATCCCCTTGGCCGTGTTTGTGTGCTACAGCTTGTGCCCGTCAACAGTAGCGAAAGAATGTAGTAAGGGGAGGGGTTCTTTTGTCAAAGTTCGAGGCTCAGGACTGGACTCCATTGGGCGTCGCGTTGGCAGACTTGAGTTTGGACAGGACAAGCTCGGCCACCTGTTTGAAAGCTTCCATCTCCTCTTCAATGGTCCCGCCAAGGCCAGCGCTGGCAAAGCTCGCCGAGTTGCCCACGTAAGTAGGAAGTTGCGTCCTCCTTGTGATCAGCTTTGCCAGTCGGGTGGTAAACTCCAACGTTGGTTCAACCGTACAAAGAGGAGTTGACAGAGGCTGTGTTGGGTTGTATCTCTAAATCAAAATCAGTCATTGGGACATGTATCAGATTGGCAGCGGGTGGGAGACTCACATCCGGCAGCGCATAAACAAATGACCCCAGGGGAGTGGGTGACGTCGCCTCTTCGGCCGAAGCAGTGGTGAGAAAGAGCACAATGGCCTTGGACTTGACTGTCAATTGGATGTAGATGCGCGTGTCCATTGATCGCGGCAAGGGAAGCGAGAGCTGGATAGGGGCATCCATGATAGGTGTCCGTGGCGATCTCAATTGTATCGAAGGGTTCGAGGACAGTTGCAGATTTTGATTACGGTTTGCTCGGCTACTAGGGCTTGAATGCGAATGAAGGGCCTCGTCAGCTTCGAGAGGATGAAGGTTCGTTCGGGTGGAGGTTCACTTAGTGGAAAGGAACAGACGGGACGGGACGGAGTGAGATGAAGACGGAGTTTGGTCTCGGCGGGGGCGGGGGTTGGACGTTGGAAGTGGAGGGAAAAGTGGCCGGGGAAGTGGAACTGAAGACGCGGCCGGCGAGATCACCTGGCCCGGACAGCTTGCCCGCCCTGAAGGAAGTGAAATTGCAGTGGCTTGCACCTTCTGTAGCCAGAAATTTACAGCGGATGGGGCCTGCAGTTTCCCGTGCGATTGCCGCCTCCGGAATTTCTCCGATGGGCAGGGGCAGTCAAAGTGTCAAACCGCCGGGCAACAGCAACATGGCGCCATTATGCATGAGGGCAACTGCTCCTTCCATCTCACCTTTACAACGGATGGTGAAAAATAATGAAGGAACACACCATGCATGAATTTGGCAGAAATGTTTGTTGTCTTAATTTCTCTTCTGATTTCCACTGTTTTCCTAGCTTCCAAACATTGAAGCGGAAAACTCACGGCACATGATGAATCAATGATCCGCCCATAACCGGCCCGGCAGCCAGAGGAGACGACCGTGCCGACCTCCGCGCCGAGACTCTTCAACTAAGCAAAAGACGCGGCCCCGATACTGGCCGCTCATATCCACAACACCCAACCTTGACTACGCGTCTCCTCGCACTGATACCTCAGCCGTTTGTAATTGTGACTAGTATATCTTCGTCATATCACTTTGACCACAGGACACACAGAACTTTGAGAGACCCAGTTGTCTTACGACTTCAGTCCCGCCTTCATCCCACAAAAAAGAGCTCGAAATGGAGGAGGGCGAGCAGCAGTGGAAAGGCATTGAGACTGCCATTGAAGACCCGGAGGAGGCAAGAGTCATATATTGTGCGCTCGACTCATTTGTGTCAGTAGTCCCCCATCACTTCTGCTTCACCTTTGGCTTTAAACCCCGTCCAGACCCTCGCAAGACCGGCTTCTTGCTTGTTCATGTTCCCGGCAAAAGAAGCAATCACTCCCGGCTTCCGTAGTTCGGCGTCGTGAACGGTGATGGCCGACCATCACGCCCGGCAGGTCCGGTTTTATTTACCCTAGTTCAAGCCTTTTCAAACTCTTGGGTACATTTGCAAATTTCCTATTACTGACTTGAGAGTAGCCAATATGCCAGGATAGCACATTTCAACTGCACGCATTTGAGGAGGCAGTCCTTTTATGCTCTTCCCGAGGCTCACTGGAAGATGCTGGCAGCGCCACCGTTCAACTATCTGGACACCCTAGACAAGGTTGACGATGCCATCGAGTCCAACGCCGAACTAGCACGCGCCATAGTCCGCGTAGGTCTGGTCAACTTCCAACCACAGGACGTCACGCAGGGTAGCGAACCCACGATCCCTCCCCGATGGAGGGGCTGCGCGAAACGCTTGGATATCGACAAAGCCCGTAGTACTCTCAGGCAGTTCTACCGAGACTGGTCCGCTGAGGGCAAATCTGAGCGTGAAATATGCTTTGGCCCTATTTTCCGCGCCCTGGAAGCACAAAAGGAGTCAAGACCAAAGGACGCCCCGCCCATGAGGGTGCTTGTGCCTGGGGCAGGACTGGGCCGTCTTGTCTTTGAGCTCTGTGCCAAAGGGTACGTGTCTGAAGGCAACGAAATATCATACCATCAGCTGCTGGCCTCATCTTATATCCTGAACTGTGTTGGAAAGCCAGGGCAACACACAATCTACCCCTGGATTCACACTTTCTCTAACCATTCGACACGGGATAACCACCTGCGAAGCTACGCCGTCCCAGATGTGCACTGTGCAACCGAACTGACACGGCTGGAAGAGGAGGGAGTTGCCGTTGGAGAAATGAGCATGACCGCTGCTGATTTCCTGTGTCTTTATACTGAAGACTATCAAGCCGAAGCATGGGATGCGGTAGCTTGCGTCTTCTTCCTTGACACGGCTCCGAACTTGATTCGGTACCTGGAAACCATCTTTTATTGTCTGAAACCTGGCGGTCTGCTCATCAACCACGGCCCGTTACTCTGGCACTTTGAGAACAATGCGCCCGGAGGACACGGTCATGACGATGATGAGGGTGACTATGATACCACCGGGATTGCGGACCCTGGTAGCTTTGAACTCTCTGACGACGAGGTGATGGCGCTGGTTACCAAGGTCGGATTCCAAATCGTCTCTCGCGAGACCGGCATCGAATCTCCCTATCTTTTGGATCAGGAGTCCATGCTACAAACCGTATATAAGGCGAGCTCATGGGTAGCCCGCAAACCACGCACTACGGCATAGGACCTGATTCACCTCTCAAGAATTCACAACCGAACATAGGCTGCTACCGCGAGCTTTATATATAACATATGTACATAACACAGGCTACAGCAGCTCATGAACCAAAGAAAGACATTGGACTGTTATAACATACCCACATGCCAAATCTATCATCTCAACGTCTCTCTAGTCGAACTCCTTCCTCTTTCAACGAAGCTCTAACCCACCAACCGATTCACAACTTCGCCTTCTCCTCCACATTCAACTGCCCACTCGCCCACATCGCACCACCATCAACCGCAATCGTCGCACCATTCACGTGCGCACCCGCCCTGCTCGCCAAATACACCACCACACCCGCAATATCCTCCGGCCTTCCAAGCCTCTTCATCGGGTTCGCCGCCGCAATGCTCTCCTTCCCACCGCTCATATCCAACAACCCATTACTCATCTTCGTCGGGAAAAAGCCCGGGCAAATACTATTGACCGTAATACCCCTGGGTCCCAACTCCACCGCCAAGTTCCTCCCCAAATGAATCACGGCCGCCTTCGAAGCACTATACCCATACGTCCCTTGCTTACCAATAGTCCCAATACCCAAGCCCGCCACGGAAGCAGTGATGATCACACGGCTGGGGTCCTCGACGCTCGCCTTCTTTTGGAGCAACGGGGCAAACTCGCGAATGGTGTTGAACACACCCCTAACGTTCAGGTCCATGACCTTGGCAAAGGCCGAATCGGGATGCTCGTCAAAGGCCGCGCCCCAGGTGGCGCCGGCGTTGGCTAGCAGAATGTCGACGTGGTCGGTGTGCTTGGCGACTTCGGAGACGAGGTGCTGCACGCCTGATAAGGTGGCGGCGTCGGCGGGGATGGAGATGGCCTTGGCGCCCAGGGCGAGACCGGGGAGGGCGTTAAGGGTCTTGACGGCGCTGTCGCAGGCGGAGGCTTTGCGGGAGGATATGAAGACTTTGGAGGCGCCGGCTTGGAGGAGGCTGTTCGGGTTATTTTGGGGTTAGTCAAAGTGAGAATCTGGAGGGTCAATGGGGATGTGGTTAGGGGGGGGTTGTTGAGGATGGGGAGATGTGGTGTGTGAGAGCTGTGTATGAACGCAAGAATAAAAACATGAAAAAATAACATGGAATTCGAGATCAAAGGTTGATTTTGAATATCAACACAAATAGGCAAAAAAAAAAAACTTACGCCGAAGCAGCACTAAGACCCAACCCTCTCGAGCCACCCGTCACAACAGCAACCTTGCCCTTGACAGAGAAGAGGGAAGGGAAATCGTTAAGCTGAGCGTCCGCCATTGTGTATTGTGTGTGTTGTGTTTCTTCCTCTTCCTTTTCTTTCTTTGCTTTTCTTCGGTTCAAATATGAAACCTGAGAAGTTACAGAATTTGAACTTAAAAAAGAGTCAACGTGTTGATGTATCGTATAAAACCTGTGGTGCTTCCCCGGATCGGGACGTGGGCCGCTTTTTAAGACATCGGGGACGGACTTTGCCCCCTGCACTGCTTGGTCTGCGGGGGAGGGACAGCTCGGTATGTACCTAGTGTACGGTGGCCCAAGTGTTGGCTATGCTCAATTGAAAAAGTTTGGTCAGAAAATAGCCCGTGTTAACTGTAGGCACTAGGTACACGCCTAGGCGCGTTAGCGTAGATTTAATTTAATAATTAAATCCATCTTATATTATATATAACCCCGCTTCTCCACATACTTTAATATACGTAAATACTTTTACTACAATAATAACTCATTACTTATTAACGATTATAACGTACCAAAATCAATTTGTAAATATATACTATATATAAAACCAACGTATATTTACTTTAAACTAACTCTAAAGAAAGAAAGTATATCCGCTAACAAAGAAAGCAATATTATCGTAAAATTCCGCCCCTATACTTTTAAGGGTAAATCCCTTACGTAAAATATAAACGACAATAAAGTATTAAAGGAATTAACTAGTAATTAGCTTAAGGAAAAACGTTTCTATTTCACTATTAAAAAATTCCTTAATTATAATATTAATAAAGCTTATACTATTTTAATTATAAACTAAGTAAAAATACCTATTAAAATTAATTAATCGATATTAAAAGCAATTGAATTTAATAAAAGAATATAGAATATTATCCGCCGCCTTAATTTTAAAAGATATTAAGTAAAGGGAGAGTTAATTATTTCGGTTCTAAAGTAGGATTGCCCCGAATAATTTATCGGCCTAGTCCGTTATTTTTTCAGCGTTAAAACTAATATAAACCCTTATACTAAATATATAATTATTAATAATTATAGTCCTTTCGCCGATTGCGTTTTCAGCGGTAAATTTATCAATAAGAATATTTATACTAATTATTATTATAGAAGCGAAAGTAAAAATTGCTCTTTACATAAGGGTATGTTATATTTTTATTCTTTTTCAATTATTATATTTACTTACTAATATTCTTTTTAACTTTTGAGAAAGCCGAAGAGAAAAAAAAGTGAAATAAGGTCCCCTTCTCTGCCAAAACTATTCGTAGCTATAAAGTTAAGGATTTAGAAAGGGTTTTAACTTAGGTTTGCGCTAAAATTATAAAGCGTAAAGTTAAAATACGTTAAATACTAAATAATAAATTAAAAGTAATTATATAGTTAGGGTTTAAATATACTTTATACGTTTAAATAATTACTTTTAAAAGACTTATTTACTCTATTAAATACTATAGAATGTATAAAACCTTTTATATTTATTATATTTAAAATAATAATAATAAAAAGAAAATAAAAAATAAAACATTAGAGCTTTACGTAATTTGAATATTAAATTAATAATAAAAGTTTTAAGGATTTTTATTTAATGATTATAAATTAAAACCTTTATAATTAAATCAAATTATTTAATAAAGTATTAAAATCCGTTAGATTCCTAAATTATATTAAAGTTAGAAATGGAACGCTATTTAAATATTTTTCCTTTAGAAGGTTTTATTCTTTTAAAAATTATATATTTTATAAAATTAGTATTAATTTCCTTAAAATATATTTATTTGACCGTTTTAATAAAGAGGGTAACCTTTATTATTATTAGTATTAGGTTTTGAAATTACTTTTAATTTAAAAATATTTTAAACCTTATAAAAATCTCAGGAATTCTATAATAAAATTAAATAACTATATTTAATAATTAATATAAATATTGAAATAATTCTTTCCTAAGGGATTATATAAGATTGTAATTAAAGGTATATTAAATTCCGGTAGTAAAAATTTCTATGTTATAAATCGATTCGAAAAATTGTTAAATGTGAATAAAAAAATATAAAATCTAAATCTTTAAAATTACAAAGAACGGTTAACGATTATTTAATAAAGATATTTAATATATAATTATTATAAATAAATAATGAATTAGTTAGAATATAACTGTATAATATTTAATTATTATAAAATCCTTTTTTCTTTTAAAGAAATTTCCTTCTTATAGATTTTTTAAATTATTTAATTATTTTATAAATAATATAATTATAAGGTTGCATTTTTCGCCTTCTAAGAATTATAAAGATAATTTTTTTAATTCCGTACATTAAAAATAAATAAAAAAATTACTTTTAAACTTCAAAAGGTTTCGAAATTAAAAGAACAAAAGCTTCCCTTATTGATGAAGGTCCTTATTTACTTTAATTAAATTATATATACTATAATTTTATTTTAAGCTGTTCAATATAATTTAAATTATTTATAAATTCTTTTATAAAGGTTAGCATTATATATAAAATTGAATTTGAATTACGAATATTTGATTAAATTTATTCGGTTTTATTTAATTAAATAAATAATATATATATTTATACAACCTTTTAATTGTATAATATATATTTAAAACTCAATAAGATTATATATATAAATCTAATTTATAAAGATTTATTATTATAAGAATCCTTATAGAAATTCAATTTAAAACTCTTAAAATATTAAATTATTTATATAAATTATTAAATAAATCATTTATATAAAATAATTATTTCTTATATAAAGGAATAAACTTATAATTAAATAATTATATACTTTTCGAATTAAAATTTAATGTAATTATTATAAATATAAAGAAGTTTTTAAAATAATTCGAAAAATAATTCTTTAATTTAATAGAACTCCTAATAAATTTAATATACATAATGGATTTACAAATTATTTTTAAATTTATTAATAATAAACGTAAATGAAGCTATATTTATGTAATAAATGATCAAACTAATTGAAATAAATCTACTTTTATAATAAATTTAAATTAATATAATATTTTTAATTTATACTCCTAATACCCATCCCAAAGGGCGTACTATACTCATACCCCCTATTAGCTATTAAGCTATACTATAATACTTACTACTAAAATAGTTTTTAATATTTAAGGGAGAGACCAACTACTTCCAATTAAACTCAACTCTTTTTAATTTCTTCTTAATAGGCACTACTTTTTTATATCCCTTATTACTTACCCAAACGTTTACTTACTACCCATTATTCAACTTTATAGTTTTATAGTACTTACGCAACCTACCTTTACTCTAATATCTTCCGTACGCTACCCCGAAAGTAACGTTCGCTATTCAAATATTTTAATTAATTATTTAATATAATTAATATATACCGATTATAATTAACCACTCGTTATTAAAATAATACTTCTTAATATGCCGGAAACCGCTTTCGTTATAAATTTAAATTCCCTAATAGATACCCTTACCCGTCTACTTCTATTTACCTAAATTAATACTACTATCGTCCTTTACGCTAATTATATTAAAAAACGAACATTTATTATCCCTACTATTTCCGTCCCGATAATTATAAAAAATATTCCTCTTAGTAAAATTATAGAAGTCAATGTAATTTACCGTTAATAAGCTGTTTTCTTAATCGAAAAGATTTTATTTTAAAATATTCGATTAGTTATTTTCAATTAGTACTTAAAATATATTAAATACTAAAAGGGTAAAAAAGGGCCTCCTATAAACGATAAGCCCCTATAGTATTTTATTTACACTTACACCAAACCCTATATTTTAAATAAGGGGCTATTCGACAACTACCTTTATTTTATTCACTAAATTAGCAAATAATATATATTTAATAAGAAGGCCCCCGAGGATACTAATATTAATAAGTTTAAATTCGTTAATACCAACCCTTTTTTAAATAATAATAAAATATAGTTTACTAACTTCTATATAGAACTATTAAAGCTGATTAACTTCGATAAGCTTAGAAAAGAAGTAGAAATTATAGGTAAAGCGAAGAAGGATTAGCCTATAATAATTATTTTCGTTTAAACTATTATTATAAAGAATAGCGATAATTCTACTAATACCGACGCTATTTATAAAATGATAATATTAAAGCGTACGCAAAAGCGGGCCGTTTCCTTACGCGATAGGAATTCCGCTTTCTTTCCTACTCTTAAACGGATATTAGCTTTAAAGAAGGATATTAAATAGGAGCCGAATATTAAAAAGGAATCGGGTATTAAGAGAAAGCCGGCTATTAAGAGGGAGTTGGCTATTAAAAGGGAATCGGGTATTAAGAAGGAGCTAAATACAAAAACAGAACTTAATATAATATAAGCGTTAAAAATTAAATAAGAATGCTAAATTAAGTAGGGGGGTAATACTAACCGAAGTGTAAGCGTAAAGAGAAAGTCTAATCCGAAAGAAGAAGCGGAGTATAAAAATACTCCCTCCTCTTCTTAATAGTAGATTAAATTTTAAAAGGAAAATAATACAGAGAATAATAGGTAGGGGTCGGTAAATAATAATATTATTATATCGGATTATATTATTTTAGATAGGGAAGATTTTATCGATTTGGCCAATACTAAGGAAATCTCCGCGTACTTTATAAAGGGCCGGAGAAATTTACGGCCAATCGATTTCAATAGTTTTAATTCCACGCTTATTCCGGCTGAAATACCCCCGACGCTTTTAATTTATAATCGTAGACGGGTGATTTTTAACATATTAGCTTTCTCTTTTTATTTACGGACAATCTTTATAATAATAATATAATTAATATTTTATATTTATTTAAACTTTATATTCCTTACTACTTTATAATATCCGTATTAAATGTACTAAAATATAGGTAAAGTATTAATATTGTAAAGAATATTATTCTTCCTATTTACTTATATTGTAAAGTTTAGACTTTTGAAATAGAGTTTAATAAATTAGAATAATTGAATATAAATTTTATATATATTTGACTACAGCGTAGAATTTAAGAATTTAATAGTTAAATAATATATATAAAAGAAATATATTATTAAACTTCTAAATTCGAATTACGTTTATAATTTTTTTTTTTTCTTTTCATAAAATCTTTTTTTTTTATCTTTTTTAACTTATATATTCCTATCTTCGTAAATATAAATTGGTAATTTTTACAAAACTTTTATTAATATATTTTATTTATAATAAAAATATTAACCTATATAAACGGAGACCTTTTACTTCTATATTATAAGAATATTATCTATATTTAAATAATATAAATATATAAATACCTTTTACTATTAGCTAAATTATACTATTAGTTTAATTTACTTATACGTCGACAATATCTTTTATTGTACTAATATTTAATTAATTTTAAAAGTATTCAATTATTTCTAATTTTGGTACTAATTGTACTAATACTTATTACTACCTTCAATTCTATTAATTCTGCCCTCTAACACCTCTATTATCCTGTTACGTTTCCTCCCCCTTATTTAACCAATTCTTTTACCTTATTGAAACTACTTATTAATAATTTTATAAAATATATGGCCGGAATTTTCTATACTAGCTTATATTCCCTTAATTAATCCCGAAAGTAATCGTATTGTTATTGGAATAGTTAATCTTAAGTATTTTGAACGTATAGGACGAAACTTTCCATAATTAAAATATACAATTCCATTATTTCTTAATATTAATTTAAAATTGTTTTGCCGAACAATATTTTCTAAATATATATACTACCCCTAATCTATTTTACACCGGTAATTAAAAACTTTAGCCTTATTATATTTATAATTATCACAGGGCTAGATCACATGCCCTATGCCAGTCGTGCCATTGGCCAATACTGCACTGCGGCTCAGCTGCAGCCATTACCATGGCACTGGGCTCAGCCTTGGCAGCGGTCACGGGGTAGATCCACTCGGCTAGGTGGATCTCACCCGTGCCCTATATCTGCCCTAGCTACGCATACCTTTCTTATTTTCTTCGTACAATAATAAAAATCATACATTATACTTAACGGTGCCTTCGCCCTGTAATAATTTATTATACTTATACATTACACTACGCATGCTCACTTACTATAAATATCGCAACGAACGTCTTTCTTAGCAACTTATTAGTAGTTAAATTTTCGGATTGTTTTTAATATTCTCGCCCTTTATGAAACGGAAAATTA